ACTCACGGTAACCCTCATTTTACAAGGAGTAAGGGAAGTCGAAGGAAGAGTGTTCTTCCTTCGTCTTCCTGCTGTATAGACAGCATCAAAAGCCGAAATATGCTATTTCAACTTCAGCTACACAATTAACGTACCTGAAGTTGCGTAGCTTAATTCGCCTTTTCCCCTGCCGTGTAGATGTGCCCATAGAAATCAGATTTGGATGATTGCTTCACATCAGAATTGAAATAAGTCTTCAAAGCAGAAATTACTTAGCTTTGGGGATGCATGTAAGAATGTGGGCCCGACTCTCCTCCCACTTATTCTGTTGTTAAACTGATGTGGCTCCATTGACTTTAGTGAAATTACTCCAGATTAAAATTGGAGTAAAGAAGAGTAGAATCTGCCCCTGTTAGTCTACAGGATAAACAATAATTATGAGTTTAGATTGCAAGCAAAAGTGAAAGTCTACATTAGAGCACGGTATTGACGAGCTGCTGGGAGTCTGGTGAGATGTGCTAGGCCCATAGGAGAATACTCTCCTGTTGGCATAATTACTCCCCACATTGAGAAGCAAAAGCTATGTCTGTGGCACAGCACAAAACTTGTGTCGCTTGGTAGGTGGGCTTTTTCACACCCCTGTGTGACACAAGTTATATTCACACAAGCAGGGGAGCTGACAGACTCACCCGGCTCCTAGGCAAGATGTGGGAGGAGCTCCTGGAAGGGTTGGAGCCACAGGGGGAAGGAGTGGGGTTAGGGCAGCAGGCCCTCAGCCCTGCCTGGCCAGTGCTGTCTGGAGTGCATCGCCCAGGGCTCTAGTGGTGATTTAAAGGGTCCAGGACTCTAGTCACTGTGCTCCTCCCTCACCCCCCACACTGTTGGTGGGCCTGAACATAGGCTGTAGTGCAGACTAGGGATGTGAAATTTTGATTAATCAACTAATTGAGTAGTTGATGGAATTTACATTTACTACTCAATTAGTCGATAAGGGGTGGGGCACTCTCTAGCCCCGCTGCACCTCCGCCTTTTAAATGGCTTTTAAGACGGCTCCCCCAGTAGTGGATCCTGCCCCTCCCCCTTGCTGCCTCTCTCTGATAGAGGCATCAATGAGGAGGAGCAACTAGGAGAGTCACTACTCGACTACCCGATAAGCATTTGTTTATTGGCTAATTGACTAGTCACATCCCTAGTGTAGACTGCTCAAAGTTGCCCCAGAGCAATGGGCACACTTCAGGAGTATAGGAGAGGGCTCTGGGGTGAGGCAGGGGTTGGGGTATCCAAGGGGCTTTGGGCTAGGGGTGCAGGTTCCAGAGTGGGGCCCAGAAATAGGGGGTTCAGTGTGGGGGAGGGAGTCCTAAGATGGAGTAGATGACTGGGGTCATGAGATGTGGGCTCTGGGTTGGGGTTTGGAATGAGGGGTTTGAGGCACAGCAGGGGGCTCCAGGCTAGGATTGAGGGGTTTGAGGGGCAGGAGAGGGATCAGGACTGGGGTAGGGGGCTTGAGGCATGGGAAGGGGTCAGGGCTGAAGGCCCTGGGCAGTGCTTACCTCAAGCAGCTCCTGGAAGCAGTAGCATGTACCCCTTCTGACTCCTATGTGGTCAGGAGACGGCTCACCACCCTGTCCACCCCGCAGCTCCCACTCGCCAAATGAGAGCTGCAAGCCAGCGCTTGGAGTGTGGACAGCATACAGAGCCCCCTGGTTGCTACTATACATAAGAGCTGGAGGGGGGGGACATGCCATTGCTTCCAGGAGCCATGTGGAGCCACAGCAGGCAGAAGGCCTGCTTTAGCCTCGGTGTGCTGAGGACTGGACTTTTAATGGCAATGACCAGAACCTCTAAGGGCCCTTTTCAATCTGACATTCTGGTCAAAAACTGGCCACCTAGCCATCCTCTGGCAAAGTGCTTGTCTCTGTCCAAGACACAAAATGAAGACACACACTGCTTGATTTAAAAAATTTTTTCAGAAAAACGAGCCCAGTACATGAGTTATTTGCTACTGCTCCATAAATGGAACCACCATAATTCTGTAAACAAATTTGGACTAGTGATAGTACTGTCTATAAGATGCCCCAATTGTGGTAGGTGCTGCACAGAAATATAGGAAGACTCCTTCCTTTCCCTGAAGAGTTTACCATCTATTCCAGGTTCCAGTCTGTAGAGCATTTAAAAGGTTAAGCTGGATTCCTTAAGATGTTTTTTCTTATGAGGATGCTAGAAATAACTCGAACACACTGTCTTATTGCTTTCATTTTAAAGCTAATGAATAATCCAGTTACCCACTAGAGAAAATGCTCAATTTATTTCCTGTATCAAGTACACTACAGAAATATTGTCTGATAAATGAGTTCCGTCTTATACAGGAGATATATATACAAGATGCTTAGAATTACATTTGTGCATTGAATTGTTTTTTGATTTGAGTTAGAATTTTGAAAAGTGCCTATGGCAATTTAAGTGCCCAACATCGATCTGCTTTCAATGGGAATTGGGCAGTTAACTCCCTTAAGTGCTTTCAAAAATCCCATCCTAGATTTGTACACTAACTTTCCCAAGTAACTTCAGGGGGATAATTGGCATGATATTGTTGTACAAATGCAACAGGACGTCTGTTTAGTCCCTACAAATGCTATAAATGTATCTCATTTAGCTTTAGCCCATTTACTGTAGATTAATATTTTAAGTCTTTTCTGTCTTCCCTTGTATTTAAAGATCACTGGTGCAAACCCTGCTCTATGCCGCTCTGTGATGAGAGCTGGAGCTAAGTCCAGTGGCTCTGCCAGTGTGTAGTGTGCTTTTGAATACACACTCATGTGCCCCACATGGGAGAGTGAAACAGCTGTGGAGAGTTGAAGTAGCAGCTGAAAAAGCAGCTTGGTTAGTGCTTCACAGTCACAGGAAGGAAGGCTCAACCCACCCAACCCCTATGAAGAACTGCTGCTGCAATGCTGGGATGACTTGGCCTATTGTTTATAGCTATGCCCCCATTTTTCTAAGTTATGCAGTGCATGTGGGAGGACTCTTACACCGAGTGTTTGGCCCAATTAGCTGAGCAGGCATCAAACCAAGTTATGAGTTAAGGTGGATGGGGAGATTACAAATCCTCTCCCCTCACAGGCTGCAAAGCAAGAGGGAGCTGATTAGTGGAGGCTCCTCTACGTCAATGGCCAGAGTCATTGGTGCAGCCCCTTGCATGGTTCTTTCTGCACCCATGCTGTGGCCTTTATGTTCCTTCCCATCACTGCATGCTGCTGTACCTGGAGCTCCTGCAGAGGAGGCCTCTCCATGTATAAGGTACACACACAAACCCCAACTCCCTGCCCCATCCCTAAGCAGAGTGGCATCCTGGTTGCAGGAAAAATCCCCTTGTGGCACAACCTGAGTAGCCCTGTTAACAAGGTTTACCTGTTTCAACAGCATGGTAACATGGATGACAACAAAATTGCATGGGAGTTTAAAGTGCTACTATAGATAGTGTCTCCTTCAACTCAACAGTATTAACTGCAGACCTTCAACTATTTATTGTCTAAAAAGACACAGTTTTTCCT